TTAAAACTTGAAGTACATATTACATAAAAATTAAATAATAATTAACTAATATGTACATATGTATACAGCTAGAGACAGAGATTTATAATAATTATCGTAATTAGAAATATTACCGTTACTTTTAAGAGAGCGATATTTTCATGAATTTGTTATTAGTAGATCAATACTGCTTCTGTCGCCTCTTTAAGTGCGTGGAAAATAACAGTTATCATTTCCCCGCAGATACCGTTAATTTGTTTTTGTTAAATTTCGTCATAAATTCGTTGGACAATGATTTAGCGCACTTATAGTTTTCGGTAATTAATTGTGTTTGGTCCAACAAAGAATTAATCTCAGTTGTGAACTTGTATTCAATAGTTTTAATAATATTACAAAATTTAATAAAATGGCTACTGGGAACTACTGTTCGATTGAAAAAAAAAAATTCTTAGGGATCTTAAAAAAAACTGCACAAGTCAAGTAAAAATTGCTCAAATAGTAAAATGTTCAAGAAAAATGGTGTACAATKCCATCAAAAATGTTAAGAGTGATCCAAATATGTTAAAACAAAACAAAGTGCGTAAGGATCCCTCTCGCAAAACAACCCCCCGCGAGGACAAAATAATTCTTAGAAAGTGTAAAGCTGATCCTTTCAAATCCTCACGCGAGATTATGGTCAAAGTCAATGCGGAATTCGACTTAAACGTGTAAAGTAGACTAGCACGAAGACGTTTTACRTGAAAATAAGTTGTATGGACGTGTGAGCAGAATAAAACCGCTATTGTCGAAAAAATATATTAAAGCGYGTTTGTCATTCGCTCATAGCCATAGATCAAAAGATTTAAATTTTTGGAAAATTATACTTTTTACGGACGAAACTAGAATAAACCGTATTGATCCTGATGGTGAAACATTTGTCAATCCAAGGTACACCAGAAACACCGTAAAGCATGGGGGAGGAAATTTAAAAGTATGGCGGTCGTTTTCATGGCGTGGAGTTGGACACCTAGTAAAGATTAAAGGGGATATAGATAAATTTGCATACCTTAATATAGTGAGGAATACAATGGAGTCATATTCCTATGATATTAT